ACACTTCCAGGACAGGGAGCTCTTACATACATAGCAGAATTGTTTAAGACAGAATACCGAAATTAATAACTGTAAAGGTTAATACCCGTTTTCAGACAAGTATTTCCCCCTATCAAAATGGTCTTCCATTTTACTGTTTTACTGCAATCACAAGAGGAAGAGCATAACATTAAGCTGCAGAAGAAAGGATGACTTTTTAAAGTACCTATACTTCTGGAAAGGACAAAAAGGGTGGGTCAAAAGGGCAGAGCTGCCAAGTCACTGACCTCTTTTGCAAGAGCCATAGCAGCAAAGAAAAACTTTAAAGGTCAGCTCAACTATAGGCAGTCTGAAGGAAGACAGGCAAAAGAAAAGAGCTAACCTGAAGCACTATGTGAGAACAGCAAATCTTAAAACAGATCTGCTATGGCCACAGCCACTTTCTGCACAAAAAAATTTATTTTTTTTTTCATACATGGGCACTACGTCCTCTTCAAAGGCTACTTCCTCAGGGGGATGTCCTCTATCAGAAACAGCACTCACTGAGTCAACTGTATGGGTGGAAGGGTGGAATTCAGCCATACTAGGAAAAGCTGGTTCAGTTTACAACCTCGCCATGAAGATTAGCAAACCCCTAGACAGTACTTTTAAGGCACTAAATGAACAAAAAAGGAAATAAACTTTGTTTGGATCCAGTGATTCTACCAAGGAATCCTTGGGTTTCTGTGCATTTATAAGGTGAAGTTAATTTCAAAACCACCACCACAGACTCTGTCACAAACTCAATAAATGCGATTTTTCCCCTTTTCTGAAAAAGTCCCATCCCATAACAGTTTTAATACTGAATAGTTGAACACCAATTCTGTAAATTTGAGGACAATTTCTCAGAGTTTAACACCATCCTCAGGCTACTAAAAAAGAACAGATAGAGCAGAAACAAAGCAGCACTGTTACTGAGTGTAGAGGCTTCTACTTGAGAGCAGAATTTGCCTCTCAAATTACCAACACTTTCTGGTTACCTCCTTCAAAGGAATCATTCTTATCAACCTATCTGGGCAGAGAAACAATAGCCACATTCTTATGAGAAGCAATCACCGGGTTTACAAAGGCAGCGCTTGCATATCTTTGTGAGAAAAGCTTTTGGGGTGATTTTGAGCCTTGCAGTCAGTGGCTAAGAGCACAGAAAGCAACTGCAACACTTGCAGCAAATACAGATTAGCTTCCTGTGAAGACAAAGCAACTTCTTGACCTCTGTCTCTCGATTCACCAACATCAAGTTACTTAGAATGCAGCAGGTGCCTTGCTGATTACTCACACCACATGAAGAATTGAAGAGACAAGAAGGGCAATCTTACTGATGCCTCAGCATATCACTCCTGAAGTAAAAACGGCTAATATCTAGAGAGAGACCTGCAAAATCAACTGCAGACAATATCCTGCATTTTTTTTAAATTAAGAAAAGCAAAATTTTTCTTATGCTATGCAAGTTACAGAAGCAATTACTTCAAGTAAATAATATTTTTAGGCTGAAAGACAAAAATGCAGTATTGCCTAACCTTCTACATGAAAACCTCCAAAACAAACAAAAAGAGATATCAGCATGAGTAACAGAAAAAAATCCCCACACCAAAATAAGCCTTGTCATACTACAGAAAGAAGATGATTGACAAGCAACAATATAATCAATGATTGTCATAGGCTGGCTACAACACTTAGGTGTACAGCAATAATGCAAAGGCTTGCATTTTAACTTTCCTAAGAGAAAAGAATACATTTCTACCTACCTCTGGCTTGCTTCACTCAATACAAATCTCCAATAAAATAATAATTTTAAATAATTTAAAATAAATACTGAACACTATCTTTTTTTACAAAGAGACATTTTACCTAAACTGTCACTTACTCATTTCTCGCCATTTCAAATAAAGATTTAAATTTAAGTGTGACCTTGAGGAGTTGATCATTAGACTGACAAGCCTGCATCATTCACTCTTTACATCAAATGAACTTTTGCTGCAGATGGGTAGGGGCATGCTTTCAGCACAGCTCATTCAAATTAGTGTTAATTATTGATTAGAATAAACTCAGCTTGTTCCAGTTTTCTCCCGTAAAAGAGAACATACATATTAGTACAACTGACTTTAGAACAGGCCAGAATTCTGTTTAGGAGGGTATTTCTACAAGACACCTTCTAGTTTAAGTTCTCTAAATTCACTGGAACATTTGTTCTCATTTCCTTACACAAGTCACCAGCACTTTCAACGTTCCCAAACTGCCTGTATTTTTACTGAAAAGTTTCCTCTCTGATTAAGCAAAGCCGAGGCACCAAAATCCCAGATGAACATCTCTTCTTGCTGTATCTCAGCCCAGTTGCTTTTCTGTGTTGTGCATTGCTCCAAACAGTTCTCCCTGTCATACACTAAACAAGAACATTAAGTAGCAGCAAATTACTGGTAGAGTATAGGTCCGGATATGCACTAGTAGGTTGCTTCATGTGTATTAAGTGTACTGTAACAGGAATATAGTCTTGTACGTTAAACTTTCTTTGTTCCACACCTGTGCACTCCTCAGATTTAAATTAAAAGCAATATATGAGATTTACTTAGGATAAAACCATTAACAATAAAATATTCAAATCCATGGCATAGGAGGAGGAAGAGATGGGGAAAACCATTAAAAAAAAAGAATCTCTTTAAAAAGATTCTTGCACACAGGAACAAAACCGGAAAAAGAAGTAACCACAGCATATGCCATCCATGCACTGAAGATATTTAGCTAGGAGTGTCAGCATGGGGAAGAGCAATGGATGGATGAGTTTAAAGAAAAACACACAAACACACACAAACAAACCAAGCCAAAATCTTGAATCAGTGACACATTACCTCAGTGATTGGTTGCCCCTGTGATGTCAAGTCCAGTTCCTGAGGTCTTGTCACTTTATCAATATCCAAGGAGTCCATGCTGGAAGCTGCAGAGGTTATGCTGGAACGGGAGGAGTTACTGATTGAGCGCACCTCAGCATCACTCACTGTGCCAGCAGATGCTGTCCTCCTGTGCTGAGCAGTAACTACTGGTTTGGTATCTTCTGCAACAGACTGTTGGGCTGCCTCATCCATGCTCAAAGAGGCCTTCTCTAACTGTGCAGTGATGTCATCCAAAGATACATTGGCATGTGATGGTTTAGTCACCTTACCAGATGAGGATAATCCTTTCATGCTGCTGTGCTTAGTAGAAGTTCGGCTAGCGGGTGGTTTCTGAGCTTTGGATTCTGTGGCAAGGCGTTTCACTGCAGCATTGTTTGCTGAATGAGACCCAATACTGCTGAGCTCCTGCTCTATGGAACAGAGATCAGCCATGAGGGCATCTAGATCCACAGTCTCCCCCTGATTCAGGGCTTCTGCAACAAACAAGAGTTTTCAGTAGTTGTAGGGTCACTTCACTGATCTGTGCAACACTTTGTGTTACCAAATTTAACAGTTAGGGTAAGGGAACAATGGAAGCTCTATTTTCTTTTCCCATCTGTATTGCAAAAATCTCTGCTTACTGCTAAGCAGAAATTTATTTGCACTACTAACATAGACTGGTTTAAGAGCAACTAAAAAAACCCCAAAACAAACCAACAAACTATTTAGGTTAAATACGTTTGCTGACAGAAGAAATCTATGACGGTTCAGATTATACCTGAAAAGTTTAAACTGCTGTCCTGTGAACAGAATCTAAAAATACATTTGAACTGTATCATGCATCAATTTTTCAAAAGAAGCGTAGGTGTTTTGCTAAGCATTTTCTGCTAAAGCAATGCAAAGTATGTGACACTGCTTAAAAAAAAAAAAAAAAAACCAAAAAAAACCAAAACTCAAAAAAAACACATACCCACAAAATACTATACAATTACTTAAGCCTTTAAACTGCAGCTTCCTGTATTATAACCAGAGGAAGCTATTTTAGGACAAGGAAAAACATTATTTTCTTTTTAAGGGTGAAAGCATTCTGTAGCTACATTCCTGCATCCTGTCCCATGAAGCAAGATGCTTTTTCTTCCCATTTAACAGTTACATATCAATTCATCCTTTCATGAGCCCAGATCCTGAATGTGTATTTTCATATAAGCACTAGGCTACAATTCTCAGATACTAGGTGCTACAAAAGAAACTGTTTTAAGATACTAAAAATTCTGTGCCATCAGAAAGCAATGCCTTCAGCAAACATTCTCACTTCAGCTAGAAGTATATTTAAATGCACTCATATCTTATGATGCTCTTATTTATAGCTGGAACAGGGTTTTTTTTCCTGAACTAATATTTGAAGGGGTAAATATTTCAACATACCATTCAAATTATACATGGAGAAGCGATATGAGAAGTTGGCAAGATTGGTTTCCTGACGGAGGGGTGATCTCTTCACTGGTGCCACAGGCTTGTCTGTATCCAAACTCTGAAAAAGACAAAGAAACAGGCAGGACACAGTTTGACAGGGAACCAGACAAGCATATATTTAAGACAAAAGAAAAGTAATTTTAAGAGAAACTTTTCAAAAACTCCAGGCATATTAAATTAAAAAAATCTCTTGTTCAGGCTTTAGACTTAAAACGCTGAAAACACACATTAGAGATTCAGCTTCAGATATTCGATGGAGAAAAGATGTTAAACACATTCTGTTTTGTTTGGTTTTTCTTTCTTTTCTAGAATCAAAAGTATGGAAGCATGTTCCAAATGCATTTTTAAGTGGTACTACATACCAGCTCATTCTGAAACAGACAGTTGGCTTACCTGTAACAACAAATCTGCAGTGTCTGAACACATTCAAAACTGTGGCATCCTCTCTACGAAATGCATCATTAGCTTATGAGCATAATCGTGGCATAAGCACACAAAAGCTGGTTTTTATTAAAAGGGATTTAAAATTGGCTAAATTCAGACATTTTTCTCATTAAGCCTTTCCTGTGAAAAATAGTAAATTATGAAAGAAACCCCTGTCAGTTTATGCACAATAATATTTTTTTTTTAAGAAAAACTAGTATTAGGAGGAGGAGACATAATTCTACCTAATACATTAAGTTGTTATGTTTTGAAGGCTAATGTGAGCATAATGCTATAATAAATACAGGATAAAGTAGCAAGCAGTAGGGCACTATGATCCAGCTGGTGACCCAAGATGACAGGGTCTGGAACTGCTGCCCTTGGAATGACAAGGTTAGACGGGGAATTTAGCTCTTGCTGCTGCTGAGGCTTGTTCCGATAAAGCTTCCCTGAAGGTATGCCTGTCTGAAAGAAACATTTCTCTTTAGCTCCAACAGAACAAAGTTTATCACTATGCTTTTCTGTTAAAAATCCAATGCCCTATTTTTCCCCCACTATTTATTTTTGCTGAACTCCCTTCTCAGTTTGGTTTGAATTGCAAAACAAAAAAATAAATCACTTTTTCAGCAAGTCAACTATCACTTAGTGAGGAGAAGCCAGTGATGCAGCCTTGTCTTCCATCAGGTAGAAAAAACTCCACTTCTAGTACCTTTCATAGAGCTTACATATTGTCCCACACAGAATAAGTGAATAAAAATAATACATCTATCTAGAACCCTAGAGGCAGCAGTGAAACTGGAGACAGAATAGGCAAATTATGGCTCTTTCTTTCAGACTGAACCCATAGACTATCACAATATATGTTCTGTAAAGCAAATACGTTCCAGTTAAAAGCATGTAAAAAGTGTTTTAACTTAATTATTGTTAAATTCAGTATTTCACATCCTTGGAAACACATATGACATGCTCTCACTATTATCAGAGTACATTCTCCATAACACAATATGATGCTCACTACCAGTTTGGAGAACTGCTAAAAAATGGAACAACCCAAAAGCTTAGATCTGCATGATCATGAGAAGCAAGGCAAGATTTCCTTCCTTTAACCTGTACCACAGAGTAGGATAACTCTGTGGATAAATGTTAATGCACTCTACATCAGTGCCAAACAGTTGCTCATGTGCTGCAAATTTTGTGACTGCATTTTATAATGCTTTTATTAGAACAACAGTTAAAGAAGGTATCATGAATTCAAATGATCTCATGGGCATCTTAACAGCTACAGATCTTTTAAGAAGCACTTCCATGGGGGAAAGAATTTGGGTCTTACTTTCAATCATTCCCCCCCCACTCCCCAAGCAATATATTTAGGAAATCTATAAAGGAAGTTAAAATTCAAGGAACTTGGGCACAAAAAAGAAAAAAAAAAAAAAAAAAAAAAAAAAGGACAACTTTCCTCCTACTGCTCTTAGAGTCCAGTTGATAAAAAGCAACAAATGCTGAGACTATAGGAGAATGCACTTTGCTCTAATCACCCCCTTTATTGTATAAAAGCTCCAGGGCTTTATTGGGATGGATCATCAAGACACAATCACTTTCCATCAAACAAACTGAGACACAATTAACTGCATTAACTTCTTTATTATACAAAACTATATGAGGTCATTCAAAGTTTTGAATGTAAATTTTGAAAGTTTTCTCAGTAATCACAGAAGACAGAAGGGCAACTGTCAGGCTGTGTTGCGAACTGTGTTGTACAGTCACAGCAATAGGAAAGTGAAGAACAAATAATGTGGGTCACCCCTTTAACTATCTGTTAGTAGGTTTTAATAATTTTGCATGGATCACCACACAAATTCAGACATCACCATTAAGCCTGTATGTCAATAGTGTAGCTGTAAGCCCTAAGTAAAGTATGCTTATGCTTCTAGGCTGCTCATACCTGAAAAAATGGAGCAGAGAACAAAAAGTTCTAAGACTTATTACTCATTTTGCTCTTCTGTGAAGACCCTCATCTGAGGTAACTTTTAGAGCCCATGCTTCCAAAATGGCTCCCACTTACTGTTAGAAATCCTTCACAGGAAGTTAAAAAAACTCAAGAGTTTATATAGAGATACATAGATTTATTTCACCCAGTCTTCCATTCATCTCAAAAGATAGGATTCTTTATTTTCCTGCATGCATAAGTTCAGCTGGAGGAAAAAAAAAAAAAATCATAAAATCATTTTCCCCTAGATTGCTATCTACATTTAGATCTTGCAAGCAGAAATTTAATCAGAAAATATCAGAGGTATGTCTGAATTTGAAATGCTGTCACGTGGATTAGCTCAATTTTCCTTCAGTTTTTGGGTAAGATGAAGACGAGAAAAGCTGCCTCTTCTCCAGCTTTATGAAGCTTGAGGTATCATACTTTTACTTTAGATAAAGAGGGAGAGGATTAAATACTTTATTCAGGAGGGCCAGCTCACATGGCTGAAAAATCATACCCTTTGGGAAAGGTCAAACTAGCAGGTTGTGAAAAATGAATTTAACAATTTTGAGATGGTGAAAACAAGCCAATTTAGAAACACTTGAAGAGTACCAAGCTGGCTATATGCTATAGTTGACTTAGCTGCAAGTGACAGTGCTAAGTGGTTATCATCCAACTGAAAAGAAACATGCAATACTTATAAAGAATTATTCTGCAAGATGATTGAAACCTCCCTAACCTGTGTGAGTTTGTCCAGTTCCCCCAGCCAGGCCCCAAACATCTTGTCCAGATCCTGATCTTCCTTATCACTATCTTCTTCTGCACCATGGTCAAGTTCTTCATCTGATAATTGCTCCATCTGAAAAAGAAAGAAACCCAAAACATGTATGTTTGATACTCAAACAGTATCAGTGTCTAATAAATCTGGTGTCAGCTACTAAGTTCATGAAAAAGCATTCTGAAGTCAAAGCACGTATTTGTCCATAAGCTTTATAAAAATTGCATATGTTCACAGTTTATTATCCTGCTCAGAAGTAAAGAGTTAGTGTGAAAGCTGGAATGAATAATTACAAAGCCATTCTTGCAGTTCGCTTTTGTCAGAACCATGCAGGAAAAAATCCCAGAGTCCACAATATTTAATACAGTATCAGAAATTATTTCATGCTAGCCTTGCATGTGCATTCACTGCCAGCTATTGTTGGCAAAGTCTGTTGATTCTACATTACAAAAATTCAACTCTTGTCCAAGGAATTCAGCTGACCACAGTTAAGCAACACTACAGTTAAGCAACACTATTCAACCCGCAGGAAGTGCAGTCTCCCTGCACTGCAAATAGTTGACTCTACACATCTGTAAACAGAAATGCTTAAACAGGCCACAGAGAACGCCAGCAATACATCCCATGAGACAGTTCAAATCTTGGACACTGTCCAGATCACTTCAGTGATAATGCACAATTTTTACCCAACAACGAAACTCCTTCCTGGAAGCTGAGAGTCACCGTTACAGCTATCAGACCCTCCTTCATTCAACAGATTTCAGGGACCAAGATAAGGACTTAATGTTCTCCACAGGTTTTTCGTTATCACCTCAAAGGAAATTAATCTTTTGTTAAACAAGCTTCTATTCTCTTCCCCAAACATGTCCTCCAGACCCCTTATGTGGAGCTAAGATACACATGTCTTTCTGGGTACATTCACACTGTTAAACTCAGGATCTGGTTCAGAATGAAAATTTAAATGGGGGGGTGGGGGTGTGTGGAAACAACAACACAGGCAACAATTTGGGACCAATGAGGCACTACAGAAGTGTAACTCCTACAGATGTGCTACATCCAGAATATCCAGAGAGACATGTGACCAGATCGCCATCAAGAGATACACAAAAAACGGCATGCCCTACAGCTTGATTTGGTCAAGTCATGGGCTACATAGCAATATGCTACGTAGGTTTCAGAAAGCACCAGTTTACATGTCATAGATTTAAAAGCAAACTTTCTAAATGCTAGTCTATAGGAAAACACAAATTTTAGTCAGAAATACATCACAGTGTTGCAGAATTGAGCTGAGAGATGTTACAAAAGATGATAAAGATGATCACAGAGAAAAACGGTTCAATCCACTTTTGACTTCATATGACAATAGTTCATGCGAAATAACCTCTGTGATTTTAAAATAGCCTTTCCTTCTATTTATATATTGCATATATTTCACCTTGATAAAATAATCAGGGAACAGGAGATTTCATAGGTGATACACAATTCTGAGGTCAGCAGAAGTCAGTGCCTCTCATGGATGCAAGATACTGCCATCCAGTTGCTCTAGGCAAAGAATCTCTTACTGAGATTTTTCTTCTGTGGGAGAGCACAATGCAGCTGCTTCCCTTAAAGGCGTAATAACATTAAAGCTAACCTGGCATGGTACACTGCACCAAGCAAACACGGAACAGATTAAATTTACCATCTAAATCTCATTTCTTCCAACACTTGAGTCCTGTTAAGTAATTCCAGCACTCAGGGGAAGGGAAGGAAGCTTTTCCTACAATCTCAGGGTGGTGCTGAAGTCCAAAAAAAAAAAAAAAAAAAAAAAAAAGCCAACATGCTTAGGTAATAGAGATGCAACACTTGTACCAACACTGCTTCAGTTTTTATGTTCTGTAAGTCAGGCATGCCTCCCCCTGCAAGATTTATCTGCATGATGTCACCTGAAAGCCCTCCCATATACAGAAACAGAGGCAGCAGGGTAGCAGCAACTCATACTCTGCTTGAACTCCTGCAAAACAAACAGAAGCTGGATTCCACTTTCACACCCCTTCAAAGCTTTGCTTTACTGCTCCTTAGGCTTTTACATGGACCAGAAACACTGCAAATTCAAGACAAAACACATTATATAGCAGTTTGACCATATCACCTTAAGTAACAGCGTTCGTGTCCAACAACACAGCATTTCTCAATGTCTAGATACACTTGAAGTAAAGAATTTTTATTTGAAGGCTAACAGAAGTTATTAAAAGCATGCCTTAGGAAACATGACTGTGAACTGGCATATCACATAAATGGAAGCTGTGATAGAAAACAGAGTGAGCTCTGTATTTACAGAGACTTTACACTGCTAGCCTTTCCCTCTTTGAGCTGTTTTTGCCACTTAACGCTACAGTTAGATGTGGCTTGTTTTGCAGTGCATTCATTCTATGGCACTGTTTATAACTCATCCCTTCATTAAGAGAGGAGCTTGTTCGTTTTTCTAGTATTTCTGAGGATGTAAGCTGTGGAAAGAAACAGGCATTCTTAATTTCCCATAAACTGTTGCTTTAGCTGTTTTAACTTGGCGTCAGAGACACTGCTTTAGTTCCAGTTACTCTGAAGACAGAATTAGCAGCCCGAAGAAAACTTTTACAAGTAAAGTACTGTTGTGTCAGCACGTCTGGCACTAAACTCCGTAGTATTTGCCAGTTCCTTGTAGTCCCCACCCAAGCTTCCTAACGTCAGCTGCATTTCCTATGAGCTTGCAAAAGGCACACAGAGGATAGTGTCTCGCTTAAGAAACAGCTAATATTAACTTGCTGGTTCTGTACAAGGGATCTCTCTTAGCACAAGCTCCACTACTGGAAGGAGATATCGCAAAAGACATTAATTAAAGGATTAATTTAACAAATTAAGGCAGAGACAAAGTGCCCAGATGACAGTATCTGAACTTTTGAGATAAGAACTCGAAACAGTAACAACTCGAAAAGAGTGCACATTCCAATTTAAAAGCTTGAAAGTTTCCTTTTTACAGCCAATTTCTTCCTCACTGTTGTTGTTCACAGCAAACATCCACCATACTTTAGCAAATCACAACCTAACTGCGAGTTACCACACTTTTCCAAGGATATGACATTTTTATTTATAAGAAGAAAGAAAAAATATGGTGTACGTTTAAGGGCTGGGGGACACACACAACTGTTCGGGGTTTTTTGTGTGCATGTGTTTTGTTGTGGTTTTGGTTTGGGGTTTTTTTTTTTTCATTCATTTGTTTAAAGGAGTCATTTAGAGCTAAATTAGATCTAACAAATGGAAGGAATACTGTTCTAGTGTGATACCACAAAGCCACTTACATTCCTAAAGCATTTGCAGGGTAGCAGAGTTTAAGTAGCTGTTAGCTCATATAAGGTAAAGTGCCAAAGCAATTTTAGGATCCAAGTCACTTCACCTTCTACTCAGGTGTATGTCAGAACAGAACTTAATGAAAATGAGCAGCATCATTCTGGTATACCTAGATAAAATAAGGTACCAGTATGGTATAGTCTTATATATGCAAGTCTTTCCTGCACTAAAGTGTGTTCTATGTACTATTTCGTTTTCCACTACAGATTGCATGAATCAACTTTATCTGTTTGAAACGCTATTTAACCAGGCAATGCCATAATCACTGTGTGTCATCTATCTGGTTTCCAAAACAGTTCATTAGGTTTATTCATTTTTAGATACATGAAGCATAGTATTCTGGCTTTTTAAAATATTTTCTAATATTATTTTACAAAAAATGACTGAGGCTTTCATTAGAAGTTACCAGTGCTCAAGGCCAGCTTGGACGGAGTCTTGGATGACATAGTTTAGTGTGTGGTGTCCCTACCCATGGCAGGGGGGTTGGAACTAGATGACCTTAAGGTCCTTTCCACCCCTAACTATTCTACGATTTAGCCATAACCTACTATTTCAATTACACTGTAAGGAAAAAACCACAACCTTATCAATAATTGAGAAAAAAAGAAACATTATAAGCCATTATAACTTTTAGCATGCCAGGACAAGCATGAGATGATGTGATATCAAAACACATGACTAAAGATGAAAAGCCCAAGAACAATGCTTCAAATATACCATTTTGACATTTTTAAGAAAATACACCATCACAGAATTCTGAAACTAACAAATTGCTGTGATTAGAAAACAACAGCTTTGGGGCAGGTAAGTTATAATCAAAAGTGTACTTAAAGTGTCTTTCATTGAGACTGCATTCTGCAGGCTTGCACTTTGAGACATAGTTTCTACCTTAAGTCAACACAGTTGAATGTAATAGGAAACTTTATTATCCTACCAATATTTCCTCAGAATGAAACACACTGTACTGAAAAAAGTAGTTGTGAAAGAATCTGACTGCAGGATTTGTCTAAACTGCACTTAACTAATGACAGAAAGATATCAGAGAAAAATAGACACCTAACTGGAAACGTTAATGTGCATAAAGGGTCAGTAACAAGAATGTGTTTATTCACTAATTTCAGAAGCACTGTAATAAGCATTTTGAACTACAGATGCTTAAGTATGTTCAAAGGCAACTGTGACAGCATAAAACCCCCAAATGAAAACAAATCATCTCTCTTTCAGGCAACTGATGTTTTCACCCCCAACCTTTCTTATTATTTAAACACAAGCTTGTACATGCTCACACTTGTTATGAACTAAGGATTTGCTTCATAAAAACAATTACAGAATTTTGTAACTATCTATTATAGGGATACAGTAAACAACACTCAAACCCTCAAAACACTAGCTGGACAAGTAACTGGATTTCTGCATTTCAAAATCTAATCTCAGGAACCAAAATGAACTATATAGCATACTCTGGTTTGGAAAACATAATCTACTTGGAGCTGGTTTGTAAATCAGTTCATCCATTTGTGATTATCCATGGGTCCTCATGCCAGTGTCTATTTCTGTTTAAGTTGTATATGACATTACACCACAGTACTACACTGTATGAGCACAAAAGCATTGTGTGCATACATAAGATTCTAGCAGGTTTTCACCTCTAATACTTGTTCACCGAGTGCTTAAAGAAATAAGGTTACTTACACAGAAAAAAAAATAATTAAAAA